GCATTTTAAGGATTTTCTGACAGGAAACAGATGGGGGTAACAAAGTACAAACAAAACAAAATGAAATGAAAGTGTGTGTGAATCATCTGAAAAAAATAGGTCAAAAGTTTTGCCAGCCACCTCTCAACACCTCCTGACATGGCGATTGGAAATCTCCTCAGTTTTCTGCCCTGTTTTCATTCCCAGCTTCCTCCTTTGCTTGTAACCCCCACCTCCACACACACACCTTTAAGTAATACTACTGTATTCACAGTTTTGAGTTTCCTATGATATGCTAAGCACTTTGCATAAACCATCTTGTCCACTCCTCATGTTAACATGACAGGGTGGGGGCTCTCTTCTCCACAACACAGACAAGGAGACTGAGGTTCATGGAAATTAAATGTCTAGACGCATGCCTTCCAGTATGGCAGTGACCAGCCACGTGTGGCTATTTAAATTTAATTAAAATTAAGCAAAATTAAACATTCCATTCCTCAGTCATAATAGCCAGATTTGGGGAGTTCAGTAGCCCCATGTGACTAATAGCTACCATATTGTATGGCACAAAACAGAGCATTTCCACCATCTCAGAAATCTCTAGCGGGGGCTGCTGGTGTAGACAGAACAAGTCTACTAGGTCGGTCTGAGCCAAGATTCAAACTCAGAGCTCTCTGGCTCCAGGGCTGTGTGTTCTGCTTTGTTCTCGCTTCCTGAAGGCCCCGTCCCCAGCACCTTCATTTGAAGGTGACGGACTGTAGGAGGGATCTGGGGAGCTCTGTAGTTTAAATTTGCCCCTCTGGGACCCTCCAGCCCAGGTCCCTCTGGGCTTGTCCTCAGTGGTCTGGAGGGGCAGGCCCCATTGTCCCCTGTGTCCCAGGCCTTCCCCAGTCCTTGCCTGTGCTCATGGCCCTTCTAGATTATTTGACACATGTCTAGCTTGGCCATGTCTGCTCTTCCCTGGCTGGCCTTCATGTATCAGAACTTGGAGATGGAAGGGAGGGTGAAGCCAGGAGGGAGAACTCGGCAGACGGGACGGGATGCTGGGAACGCAGGACCCACAGCTTCCCGGGGATAGCAGGCTGGGAGTGCCCTGTGAACGCGGCAGCAGGACAGATAAACTGGCCGCAAGGCTTCGCAGAAGTCCTGACAGGGAGCCCCGCCTTGGGGGAGGAGGCGGTGTGACTGGAATATTCTTTCAGCTCTCAGTCTGTCTTACTCTGCTCACAGGAGTCTGATAAACGCAGCCCCTCCATCTACCTGGAAGTCACTCCTATCCCTGCTGGTTTCCCCTGTGAAACAAGGAAAGCTGTCAAGCCTGTTTTCTATCAAATCGCCACCATTGTAGGCGTGAGGGTAGTGGTGGGAGCCCTGGGTTCCAGCCTTCATTCGGGGACAGCGGCCTGTGTGGCTCCTGTTACATTAACCCCTACCATGTGCCCGGGGCTGGTCTAAGCGCAGTCCAGGGACTAGCTCACTTAACAATCATAGCTACCTTTTGAGATATGGGCTATTTTTATCTCCACTTTATAGATGAAAGACCTGAGGTTCAGGGAGCTTAACGTGTTCAGGGACTCAGGGCCACGATCTGAGTTGGGATCCGACCCAGACAGCTGGACTCCAGAGCCACAGTCCTCCCCATCCACTATCCTACCTGTCCGGTTGTGTTGAGACTGGATCCCCGAGGAAGGCCCTCGGGCCACCCACAGGAGCAGGAGCCTCTGGTCAGCATCCTGCCGGGACACCGTATTTTAAGGGGGATACTGACAAATAGAGGAGTCCCCTGGGCACTGAAATGGGTGTGTTCTGAGGGGTGGTTGAAAGTCTGGGGGGGTGTGGCCTGGAGATAGGGAGGCTCGGCCTGGTTTTCCTGCCTCTGCCTAGTGATGCAGGGACCCCGAGATGGAAAGGCTGACGCTAAGGGTGGTGGGGGAAAACTTCACTGAGAAGGAGCCATTGGAGCTGGATCTTGAAGGACAGAGTGATTTGCCACATGGGCAGTTGGAGAGGGCTGTCCCAACTAGAGGGAGCAGCTTAGGTAAAAGCTCTGAGATGTGGGAAAGTGGAGGCTTGCTCAGGGAAGGACGGGTGGTCGGGTCTGGCTGGAGCAGAAGGGGATGTGAGGCAGTGATGGCGGGTAAGCTGATAAGAGTTTGGGTTTTACTCTGTCCGTCCTACAGGCTGCTGGGGCGGGGGGTGCTGCGCTCCTCGGAGCCGTGTGGGAAGCTCCTTTCCTATGCCCCTGGCCGGCAGGACTGAGCCTGTGGCTCTCTGTGCAACCTCTTCCGTGGTGTGCTCAACCCTGGGTGGCAGGGCTGGGGAGGCATCCCTTCGGGAAGCATGCGTTACGCTGTGCCTCTCAGTACCAGCCCCCCAGGTCCCCATCAGCTGCTCTGGCCAGTCCGCGGGCACCTCTGAGTTGCCACTAGGGCCCTGGCAGGCAGTGCTTCCTCTGCACCCCAAGAACAGTCCAAGGTGGCCTTGCATGGCCGAGCAAGCCTGTAGAAGTTTTTCTGGGTGTTGCCAGCAAAGTTGCCTTTGGGGTGTCCGCTGGTGAAGGAAAGGTCTGGATCCAGCGTGCCCAAAGGCATGAGGCCCGGAAGACAAGGAGCCGGGAAGTCCTAAGGGAAAGGTACCGGCTCTGGGAAAAGAAGGGTCTGTTTCTACCGACCTACTTCTCTGCAGGGAGTGTTCTGAACTGGGTGGTTCGGGAAACCAGGGACGGGGGCCCCAGAGCACAGCCTGCCTGTTAGGGGGTTCTGCGTGGGGCAGTGGCGGCCTGGCTCTAGGACCTCTGCCGTGCTCAGTCCAAGGGGAGCATGACCTGAGCTGGACGCTCTCTGCTGACTGCCCTCCCCAAGAGAGACTGACGGCAGCACACCCCAGTGGCTGTCGTGAGAGCTCACCTCTGACTGGACACAGGGGACATACTCAGCCCTCGAAGTCAGCATCCAGGGTACACAGACTGTAAAAAGTCTCATATTCCACATCCTCATGGCGAAGGGCCAGGCTCACAGTGCACACTCGGTCCCAGAGCCAGCATCTGGTGGCGAAGAGAAACTGTCACCCAAGGCAAGTTTGTGAGCTGGACGCACCATGAGGCCAAACTGAAATGTCAGAGTTTGGAGCAGAGAAAGGTTTATTGCAGGGCTGAGCGAGGGAAATGGGTGGTACATACCCCCCAAAACCCCGAACTCCTTGAGGGGTTTCAGCAAAGCATGTTTAAAGGCCAGGTGAGGGAGGGGCGTCCCAAGGTAGGTGGTCAGCTGTGCACAATTCTCTCATTGGTTGATGGTGATCAATCCTTAGGCCCCAGAAGGTCTGGGGCCTACGTGCTCCTGATCATCAGGTACCTAATTTCTTCCATTCCCTGGTGGCTTTAGCATCTGAAACACTCCGGAAATATGCATCAGATACTATTATCCAGGTGCTTGAGAGAGGAGTTAATGCAGAGGGCATGGGGGAGGGGTCTGTCCCACGGAGGCCCCATGAGGTCCTGCTCAGGTGCAGAACAGCACCCAGCAGCAGTCATAGGTGCCGAGAGGACCTCTTTTCGTGAGGGTCGTGTCCCCCACATTCTCACCCCTGCCTCCACCAGATCACTGGGCAAGCCCTGCGCATTGTCTGCCTTCAGTTTCCTCAAGGGTGAGGTTAGGGAGCTGGCTTAAGTGACTGCTGAAAGCCCTTCTGGATCCTTCTGGGCCTGACTCTCTATCGTTAGACACATGCAATCAATTCTCGATCAGTCACTGGACTTTGGGGGTTTAAAGCTGGCATGCCCGGGAGCCCCTTTCCTTATCAGCATCGGACGCTGCTCTGGGTGCAGCTTTCTGTCCAGCCGGGGTGCAGAAGACCTAAATCCCACTTGAAGTCCTTGAGACTGGCTGCTTGTGAAGGTCCAGTAGCCGCAGACAACCCAGGGATGGGAGAGAGGCTCCGCATGGGTAGCCAGAGGGGACTGTGCTTCTGGGCCTTAAAACTGTACAGACACGTGGCCTTGTGGCCCAAGCCAGAAGCCACAGTGGGATGCGCTGGAGGGCAGGCCCCAGCATTCTGCAGCACTGACTTGCTTCAGACTCTCTCCTCTGGTCGATATCAGAACCTGCGTGAAGCTGAAGGCCTGACAGCCCCCGGCCGTGGCGTCCACTCCTGGCCCTTTGGCATCAGGAAGCTCAGGGGATGACAGTACCTTATAGTAAATAGACTCTTTGAACAGTTAACTTTTAAAATACCTGAGACTTTTTAAAAGAAGGACCCTGTGGCAGACTGAGTAACGGCCCCCAAAGGTGTCCCTGTGCTAATCCTTGGTGACTGTGAGTGCTACATTACGTGACAGAAGGGACTTTGCAGGTATGATTCAGTTAAGGCCTGTGGGATAGGGGATGATCCTGGATGATCTGGGCGGGCTCGTGGAATCAAAAGGGTCCTTATAAGAGGGATACAGGAGGGTCAGAGTCAGAGGAGAAAGTGATGTGACGACTGTAGCAGACTGGAGTGTTGCACAGCGAAGATGGAGGAAGGGGCCACCAGCCAAGGAATACGGGTGGCAATGGACTCTGCGGAAGGCCAGGAGCGGACCCTCCCCGGAGCCCTGGGCCGAACCCGCCGTGCCCGCAGCCTGCCTGCTGACCCGGTGAAACTGACTTCGGACTTCTGACCCCGAGGACTGTCAGAATAGAAATCCCTGTTGTTTTAAGCCGTGAAGTTTGTGGTGAGCGGTTACAGCAGCCAGAGGAGGCGAATGCGGATTCCAGGGGGAGTGTTTTCTCAGCTTTGCCATGCAGTGCTTTTGCATCTTGGACTGAGATGCTTCAAAGAAACCACCACCTCCCTGAGTCTGCAGAATTCTAAAACAATAAACATCCTCAGAGGGACTGCAGACCCGCCCGCCCGCGGGATGTGTGCTGGGTGACGGGCCGGGCAGGGGAGCCAGCCCCTCCTGTGGGTAAGGGAGCGGGGTGAGGGCACCGAGAGCAGGGTGGGTGCTGCTTACGGCTCATTAGACCCACAGCCTTTGACTGTGGGCACTGGTTGTGTCACGGGGCTGAGCTCTGTGCTCTGCGGTTGCTCAAGTCAAGGTCACAGGGAAGCCACATGGTGTCTGTGGTGTGGTTTGGGCTGCAAATTGAGGTAAGAGATTGTTGTGCTCTGTAACTGCATCCTTGAAGAGAAGGCACCTAGGGGCCAGGTCAGCAGTCTCAGCGATGAGCTGAAGTTAGGGGCAGCCCGAGGTCCCTTCATTTCAGAAACGAGGTTTCTGGGGTTGTTGTGGAGGTGACCAGGACAGATCCAAAGTTCCAAGTGCTTGTCACTTCCCACCTTTCTTAGGGTGCATTTGCTGCCCGGATAGAGGAGGAGGAGGTGGAGGGCGAAATGAAGTGGATTGGACAAGAGATTGAGTGCAGAGGTGGGAGGGAGACAGTAAAAAGAAAACAGAGGGACAGGAAAAGGCGGTAGGTCGAGGGACCCTGGCCATGGCCGGAGGTGGCAGACAAGAGCTGGAAGGGGCAGCAGAGTTGGGCAAGAGTATCTTTTGTGTGTTCATTTTTTAAGGCTAGGAAGGCCTAGATGAGTCTGAAATAGAACGTAAGGAACCCAAGTGAGGGAAGACATGAAACTACTGGAGGGGGCATGCTACTGGGGTCAAGGCCCTCGAGACTGGGAAGGGGCGGGCTGGGGTCAGTGGTCCAAAGGAGAGCGCGTCCTCTCCTCCAGGACCGTGGGGAGGGAGGGAGGTGGCGGCGAGGTCAACACAGAGTGGGCTGCAAGCTCTTTTTCACTGTTCTGTGTGGCACCATAGAGGTATCCAGAGCTCGGCCACAGTGCTGGACACAGAAGCTCCAATCTGGTTCTTTCTAGGAAATCCAGTTGTGGATACACACTCCACATAAGGAGGAGGGAAGTAGGATGCAGATTTGCCTAATTCAACACAATATGGATTTGCACTGCTTTATATTAGTGGCTGTAAAGACAGGGTTTGTTTTATGTTTCGTCCGTAAGAATCCCAACCGGTGGGCCGTCCAGGATGTGAGTTCTGTGGGGTCATCCAGAGAGCGGGTTTCTTCTCTCTTGTTGCTCTCTTGCCATCTCTACTGCATGTTGTCACCCGCATGGGCGAGGCTGGCCCACCACCAACGTCCACATCCCAGCCCCGGGGATGAGCAAGAGCAGCGGCCACCTGCAGGCTGCACCTGCTGTTTCTGCTCATCCTGTGACCACCCTGGCCTGTAGCGGGGCTGGGAATCGTGGTTGTCCCAGGAACCACGTGTCTAGCTAAAACAAGAGAGTCTCACACTGACAAGCAGAAGAGGGGACAGATACTGAGGGACAAATAGCCACTTCTTCCATGGGCTTCAGACATAAGCGTGCATGGCGGTGACTCCTGGCTCTTCATTCAAGCAAGTAATTTCACCTCCCTGGGCTTCATCCTTCTATAAAACAAGACTTGGGGCCATGGGAACCACCATGCACCATGTAAGCAGCAGCTGCAGAAGCACCTGGCGGGGACCTGCCTGGAAGAGACCTGCCTGGAAGACATGCAGTGCCTCTGATTTCTCACCTTCTCCCCTCCTCTCTGCCCTAGGGAAACCAATGTACCTGCACATCGGGGAGGAGATAGATGGTGTGGACATGCGGGCCGAGGTTGGGCTCCTGAGCCGGAACATTGTGGTGATGGGGGAGATGGAGGATGAGTGCTACCCGTACAGCACCCACATCTGCAGCTTCTTTGACTTCGACACCTTTGGGGGCCACATCAAGGTATGAGTCTGCCTGGCTGAGGCAGCCCAATCAGAGAATCCCCACAGTGCCAGCCTATGGGCAGGGATTCCTGATAGGAAAGGGGATGGAGGGGCAGAGGTAGGACCAAGGGAAGAGTACCTTCTGGAAGTTGGAGAAATCTTATGTATTACGCATTACTCAGTTCCTTCGGTCAATATTCAGGAACAAGAGAGATGATAGAGGAACGTCTCTCTGCTCCCCAGTCTCATGGCACCTGGCCTTCATGATTTTCAACCCTGGACCACAGCTTTCATCCCCTTTCTTCATTACTTAACCCTGACCGCTCCCTAAAAGAACTGCGTTAAAGTCACAAAAAGTCACATTTACATTAGATCCATTAAAATACAGATAAAATGATAAACAAGGGAGAAGAGCTCGAAGTGCCAGCATTACATTTCCCTGTGAGCTTCAGGTGGAGCTCAAGGCTAAGACGGAGATGGTGAGCTGCTGAGTTCTCATGGTGCAATAAAGGAAAATTGTATCAGCTCATTGGAGCTCACGTTTTCCTAGCATTAAGCTCCAAGAGGAATTTTTTTGCATCTCTCTATGAAGTGCCTTTTGCTGGCAGACTGAATACCGTAAGACACCCCAACGTTCCTCACGTGACCGTTGCTTTCAGTGATTTGGGATTGAAGCTAATAGAGGAACAGTAGTACCATGGAGTTTTGTAAAGACAATTCTCTTGAGGCTAAAACCACATGCTTTGAAGGATAAGATTTTTTGGTAATCTAAGTGAAAAGAATAATGGAGTGAAACTTAGAGAGCTCCTAATGGGGTTCCTACCATCATATATAAGATAATTATTTTTTGTCATGCAGGCCTGCATTATAGGATTTCTAGGATTCCTGGCCCCCACTCATTAAATGCTAGCAGTGCTCCCAGTCGTTGCAACCCCTCAAAACACTTCTACACATTTCCAGTCAGTTCTGGGGATGTGGTGAGGACAGGGGTGGTGGTATAATCTTCAGATGAGAAGCTTGTCAGAGAGACTAAAGCAAAAATAGCAGGCTACAACCCCATTTCCCATTTTGAGAGTAATCCCTGAGTGATCAGCGCACTCCTTGCCACCTTGCCCAAACTGGGCCTCAGAATCATTCTCAACACAGCGCTCCAGGGCAGCCGCTACTGGAGTTGGCATCCCCACTGACACCTATTTTTGGAAGGAACGGTTAGCATGTCCTTAAGTCATCCTTCTCTAGTAGAAGTTGGCTGAGCTCAACTTTTGACAGGAATCATTTTTAAGCTGTGCTTTTATGGTGAGTTCCTGGAGTGAAGACGTTCAGTGTGAGCGAGTGGTTCCCTTGAGCAAGCTAGGAGTGGCTCTGGGTGTAGCATGAAGTGAGCGAGTGGAGCGCCCCGCCACTCACACACACGCTACCAGAGTTATCGGCGGCTGAGGACTCCCAGCTCAGCATCCCTTTCCCACGGCTGGGAGAGGGCTTCAGATGGTGAGCTAAGGCACAGGCTCTTACTGCCCCGTGGTCTACCCTAACCTGGATCCCCCAACCCTCCTAGGGCATGCTTTTTGCCAGCCTCCCCCCAGGTTATCTCAGGGTTATTCCTTTCCCATAACACTCAGCGGCTTAGGAGGCAGGAAAAGAGGGTTGAAACAAGCCCCAGCTATTGCACAGTCCCACTGCATCTCTTCATTCCAGGTAGTTCATTGCCTTGCAACGTCCCTATATTATTAGCAGCACCTTGTCTCCTTTGAGGTAGGAAGGACTAGGCATCCTGGCCCATTTGCAGAGAATATCTTTGATGTACTGAGTACCCGAAACAGGAATTAATGGAGCACTTTGAGAACAACATGTGTGCATTTTCGGAGTGTGGGCACTAGCGAGGGGGATCGGGGGCACCTCATGGATTCCTTCTGACTCTCGGTTCTCCTCTCGCAGTTTGCACTGGGGTTTAAGGCTGCACACTTGGAGGGCGTGGAGCTGAAGCACATGGGCCAGCAGCTGGTGGGTCAGTACCCAATTCACTTCCACCTGGCGGGTGACGTGGATGAGAAGGGAGGCTACAACCCACCCACGTATGTCAGGGACCTCTCCATCCACCACACGTTCTCTCGCTGCGTCACTGTCCACGGCTCCAATGGCTTGTTGGTAAGCACCTCCTTCCCGAGGAAGCAAGAGATCTAGGGCCCCCTTGTCCCTTCATCCTCCCCCTGCATGCCAGTCCGCTTAATGCTGGGCCCAGGGACCATTAGCAATGGCTGGATGTTTGGATCTAGTCACTTAGTCTAGGGCCAATGGGAGTTGAATCATCCTTAGCTCAGATTTTAACAATATCAATTGAGAACAGGTCACTGACCAAACAGGAAGGAGACAGTAGGGATGTGTCCTTGCCAAAGGGCACAAGCTACAGAGATGGGTGAGCAATTTGTTTGCAGTGGTCACTGTCAGTCTAGCTCTTGCTGTGCCTCGGTTTCCCCAGGATCATTCCATGACTGTGTAGCATGACAGATCTGCTAACTACAGACAAGGGGGGTCATGGCAAGACTCTTGTCGCATCTGCCCAACAAGCTTGGGGCAGTGGCAGCATGGGTCCTTTTCTTCTGTTGAACCAAGTATCTTCAGAGCAATCACTGCTGGGAGAAATACCTTCATTAGTAAATTGGTTGTGTGTGTGTGTGTATGTGTGTGTGTGTATGTGTGTTAGAGGCATGTCTTGACTTGCAGAGATAATTTTTACGCTAAAGGGATCCTTCTTTAAATGAACTCAGCTTATATCCTCTATGAACTTTTGAAGCTGGATGTTACAAAATGGCACCCTGAAAGCTGGATCCAGCTTTGTGTTTTGTTTGGCTTATACGGTGTCTAGAGAAACATTTGATAATTTTTACACTAACCTGATAATTTTACACGAAATAGAACTTTCTTTAAATGGACTAAATTCATATCCTCTATGAACTTTTAAACCGGATGTCACAAAATGGCACCCAGCAAGTGAACCCAGTGGCCAGATGTGTTTTGTTTGGCTTGAATGTTTAAAGAAACATTTGAATTAGTTTTCATCATTTAAAAACTTAGAGATTTCACATAAAAATCTGGATTCTTGGCTTCTTTTGAAAAGTAAATGAAATTGGCAGCACCAGACCCACATTCCCTCATGGCAGCAATGAACTGGGGCAAAGTCATAGCACCCTGCCAAGCCAGGCCTGTATTCCCTGGTTTACCCCATGCCTGCCACTGCCTAGTACATTACAGTAAATGCCCCAGGCTGGGCCACTCATCTCATCACCTGTTGGCCTCCGTGGGCATTTGGGTTTGTGAGCCCTGCTTTAATCCAAGCATAATGACCCTCCCCATCATGCACGCGGTGACAGGAAGATGAAGGGGCCCATCAGCATGTGGCTGGTGAGGCTGCTTTCAGTTCTATTCACTGTGCTCTTCTACTATAGAGGAGTGCCTGCTGTCTCTGTGTTTCAAATGCTCTGATTTAAAACCCACCGAGTATAAAGGAGAGAGCGTGCGCTTTGGGGCCCAGTCGAGAAGGGGCTATGATCCAGGGCTTGGCCCACGGGTCATGAGCTGTGAACCCCGGGCAAGTTGCTTATCCTCTCGGAACCTCAGTTCCCTCCTCCATCAAGTGGGGAAGTAACACCAAACGCACTGGGCCTGGGGAACCAGCGCCATGAGGGAGACCCAAGCCCCGGGACCCTGTCTCCTGGGCTCACAGGCTGGTGTTGGCTGGGACCTGGGGCCGGCTCCCCCAGCAGGTGGTTACGGATTGCAGCCGGTGCAGTTGCTGGAAGATGTGGGGTTTTTTTCCCTTCTGGTTCAAGAAAGATGCGAAGGAGGATGTTTTTTGGCAAAAGCAGAAAAACGGGGTTTAGAATGAATTCAGAAGCTCGGGGTGCAGTAGAAGACACAGGATGGGCTTGAGTTCTGGAGCCGGATGCTGGAGACCCCACCCGGCTTCCGCCACTTCCCGGCGGTGTGAGCCGGGGCTGGTCCTTTTACCTTTCCATGCCTCTTCTTCCTCGTCTGTTGAATGGGGAATAAAGGACATGGGAAGTGCTGGGCCCAGGGCTTGGCACACACTCGGCCCTGGGCTCAGGCATCCGTCCCATGGTCCTGTCCACCTGGGGGCTTTGCTGAGTGAGTGCAGTGAAGGCCGTAGGCACTGGCACCCAGGCTGGTGACTAGGCTGAGAATGTGTGGTGAGAAGAACAAGGCAGAGCTGGTGAAGGAAGATAACAGGCCTGAGGCTTAGGAGCTTTGCCTGCTTTAAGTATTTGCTCTGAAGTTTTGTCCTTAAATTTAACTTAAATTCACCTACATTTAA